AACAAAGAGCTATGCTTGAGTCAAAGGTCGATGCTTCCGCTTAGTAATTTTGTTCTAAAATTTGGATACATATATCAGTGGTGTTGGTTTTAGCCGCTCGTGGTAATTTTAATAATTACTTATAAGCTACAATTTTATAATAAACTTGGACTAATCAATTCCCCATAATTAAACTTAAATTTTACTTCGAAACTTCGCCTTTCTAATCAATCTCCTTCCGCGTTCCTATTGTGCCTTAATAAACATAACATATTGCACTACTTTATCATCGATTTCCACGCCCCAATACAAAATCCGAACAAAAAAGTGGCAGGCAATCATCTTGGAGGTCACTTCGGGTTCTCCGGGCAGTGTGCGCTGTGGGGATTTCCCGTGCATTATCTTGAGATAGCGCGGTAGAGCGAGGCTGCCTTCGGTCGCCAGGCTGCGCAGCCCTCGGTATCGGCCGCTGGGGCGATGAGAGAGTATCATTGTACGGCATGAAACATGACAGGGCCGGCTATTGTACTGGGAGACGCATAGCTACGAGGCGGCGAACGGAACGACGACGGGGGTAGCCAGTTACCACCACCCACCCCTCAACCCTGCCCCTCGCCCTGTTCAGCTCCGCTTCCGTCCGCTGCCGACTGCCACGAAACGCGCACCCCTGCACCATTCGAAGTTCTTCTCTCCGGGCCCCGTAACATGATAAGAAGCGTGTCACGTTCGTTACGTTTCGCTGGGGTGCTAGGTGGTGGGGGATGGCTAAAGGGGGGAGGGCTGATGGCTAAACGCTAGCGATGATAGATACCCACCGGCAGATAATTCTTCGCATTCAATTTGTACAATATGCTGAATCCGATGTCAGATACGCGGCACGCCCCGAGTGAAACCGAATCGGATCGGGAGAGCCGCTAGATAAGGGTCACGGAAATGGCTTTCGTTCACGGTGCTGCGGCCTGATTTCAGGGGGTACCTGTTCTGCCTTTTTCGTGGGATGCGGTTGACTTTGGGGTAGTCGATTAACCCCTTGGTGTAGACGATATCGAGTCGGATTCGTGAGGAAGTTCTTAAGTGAAGGATACAAAAATGAAGTGTTAATTGAGTAACATTTAGGGTCCAAATTGAATACTATTTTATTAGTATTACTTGATGCGTTCTGGAGTGAAAGGTATAGATTAATTGGGGATTTTTCTTTGTTGGTGAATTATTAACACGTTGAGTGCCGTATGATTTCATAGAGCAAATACATGGAATGGAAAAAATCAAATATTGAATCATTTGATTACATTGCATTATCGTTATTGCACGTTCGTCTAGCTGAATGTCACCGCGTTAGGTAGCATTATTTATAATATAGAAATGTTTTCAAATGATCCTTGTTTAATTGAGTGAACCATAGTAATTCGCTTTGGTTGGGGGTCACCGGTGACTCCCACGGTATTCAACGTGTAAAGATAATATGCCAATGTTCATTTTGGATTTGGGAAATTTTCAAATGTACGTAGTGCGGTCCATAATTTCGAGACCTAACATAGAAGAAAAGATTGGTAAAGAAAAACACTTATCTTATTTCTCAATATAGTCACCCTTTATTTCAATACATTTTTTACACCTTTGGATAATTGCATCTATACCACTGTACAAGTACTCTGAAGTTTTGTTTCTAAAATGTTCGTTCACGACTTCCTTCACCTCTTCATCGGTGCCAAATTTCCCTCCTCTGAGATCCGCTTTTAATTTTGAAAATAAAAAATAATCGCTAGGAGCTAAATTTGGATTGTACGGTGGATGGTTTATTTCAGTGAAGCGTAATTTGCGAACGATAGCTTTTGTTAGGGCAACAACGTGGACTGGTGCTTTATCGTGCAGCAGCCGCACACCGCGGCTAATTTTTGACATTCCTAGATAGTCATGAAGGATACGAAGAACAGTTGTTTTGGAAAGCGTTGCGATTTCCTTCGTCTTTAATCGACGATCACTCAGAACCATTTGCTCCACTAACTTCACGCTTTCTAGTGTGACCTCGCTGACCGGTCGACTACTGCGTGGGTCATCTTCGATTGACCCTCTTCCGCAACGAAATAACTTCGACCAATTTTTGATCATACTATACGACGGTGCAGAGTCGCCATGAACATTATCTATCCTTTCCTTGATCTGGTTTGGCGTTAATCCTTCTATAGTTAAAAATTTAATTACCGCACGATGTTCAAGTTTTTCCATTTCTTTCCTCTCCTCGTCAACTTGCACTTGCTTTTTCGTCTGTTGCTCGGAAACTGATGTTCGCATCGCAACTAAACTACGTATGTATATTAATAAGATGTAGAAGTTCCTTGACATAATGAACATTCGGTAAAATTTGTGACGGAAATATCTTAGGTCACGAACTTATGGACCGCACTACGTAAGTGCACAAATATGCACTGTTTCGTCATTGATATATCAAAGATGTATAGGTTTGATTGGATATTAAAAATATCTGTTTAATATTTTTGATTTCTGTTTTGTATCATCTTTGTGTAACAACGATTGTTTCGGATTTTATAATCTAGTGTCTAAGATGACCAGTATATGAGATACATTAGATGTAGAAGAGTCACCGAATTTTACATATAATCTATTTTATTCCGTTGGGATTTTCCTAGACGTTCTGTCAGGTTCGGGGGTAGGGCGACGTCGAGGCACGCGTTTGAATTTATGAAACCTTTTCTCGAGTATCTTTGCACAGCATTTTAAAGTCGCGAGCATCCGTAAGCGCGTACCGGTGGCATGTTTGTCGACCTGCAACCGGCACTGACACAAAGCTGAACGTTTACGTTTACAGAAACCCCCTGTTCCGATTGAATCCCGCACTGCTTGAACGAGATAATGACGGCTACCGACGCACCCTCTTCAAAATTCATGGAGGGACACCACGAAAGTCCTACTTCTCAATTCAAAATTCTATTTCTTTTATTACCTCTGATGTAGACAATTGAAATGTTTATGGATGTTAAATCTTTAGTATTAGTATATTTTTAGCTTTCCAACCAAAAGCTACTTCTAACCATTTGTAGTAAAATGATAAAAAAATTCCTGACAAATTTAAAAGAAAAGTCACATTCTTTGTATCGAAAGTTCAGAGATCTCGATCTTGCAATTGTATCACTTCCCATAGACAATAATTTCCAAACGAAGGCAAACAACATAATAAAATTTTAATACAGGGAACATTGAAGCCAATACAAAGAACGAAATATGCATAATCCTATTCTTCGTAGATTACTTTTCAAAATTATTAATTTCCATAAGCATCCGCACTGAAATTATTCCAAACACGCTCATTCCCGTTTCATAATAAAGCAAAAACAACAGAAAAAATATTCGCTCGGAGTCCGCGGGTCGTCTACAATACCGAAAGGAAGAAGGACAGAAAAGAAAAACAGATAAATACCTAACGGGGCATGGAAGGGGGGCTGGATTTAATCGTCATTTTTTATTCGAACGAGAGATCCCGGCCGGATCGTCGCGGCCGGAAGTTCCGTAAGAGCCGGGGCGCGCAGCGGCGGTACCGAAACCCCATTAATTACGTCATGGAAGAACGCAGACGTTGGCTCAAACAAAGGAGAGTCGGCCCGAAACCACCCCCCTTCGGGGGGTAGCCGGCTCGCAGCCCCCGAAGTCTGCGCTCCTCTCGTTCGTTGCACGCTTCATATATCCAGCCTAATTACGCGCGGATTTGCATATCTCCAGTCGCGCTGGACCGAACAACTTCGAGCTTTTGTTCCTGCCAACAGGACATCCGGTCCTATCCGGTCGGTTGTTGCCCTCGGAAGCGACCGCTAAGAGATTATTCCGATGGAAACGCGCGGTTCGTCTCACCAAGCCAATTTTTGGGTCTCTTAGAAAGTTGGATATCGACCGACAAAAATGATAGAAAGAAGAAAATGTCGGTGGATAGATGAGGAGACAAGGAGGCAGTATTCTGGTACTAGTTTTAACTGGTCGATTGGAGCCGCTGGAAGCGGTTGCTAAAGCCTAGTCCAGGCTGATAGATATTGTCTGTAGACAGTTTACATATATCGACTGTTGACAGTTTCTCATTATAGCGGAAAACAAAAGACAGAACAATGTTTGTTCATAGGTTGTCTCTGGACTTGAATTTTGAGTCCTGTTATCAGTGGATTAACTGTTAGAACGTGTCAGTTTAGACTGGGATTAAAAGGTTATTTTAATAGAAATGTGTGGTTTGTCCTTACCAGCTAGTTCTCAGCTCTTCTAGAAACTCTAAATACGAGATAAAAAACACCAGAAAAAAGAAAATGATAATCTATAAATGAGAACAAAAAGAGGCAAGAATCTGTTCCTGGCCTGACCAATTAATTGCTGCGTTTAAAAGCTGTTAATACAGGATTACAATAAAATTTCGTTTAAACGAACCTGTAACGGAACAACTAAGTTTAAATAACAATATTTTTGTAATAATTACAACTTTATTTCTCTTCACCATTTATGATTTTTCTATAATGTTCCGCTTAATATAAAAGCTTAACACATTGACTAGTCACCGATGACCAGGGCTTCCAAATTACTTGTAAACAATTATAATTTATAAGATAACTGATGTCGAATAAAAATGTTTAATAGCGTAAATAACTGGACAATAGTGTAACCTAAGAATTGTGGTACCAAATAATTAATAATTGTTCTCTTTTACTTTTGCTACAAAAGAATAAGTGATATATAAAGCCCTGAAGTTTTTCGTGAAAGTCAATGTGTTAATATGAGAGCTTCGCCAAGCAGGTTTCCGAATTTTCTCAAGACTGGGATATCAATAAAGAAATACTAGGGAGAAGAGAAAACGGCGGCAGATAGATCGGAAGAGGAATAGCTAAGAATTTTGTCCCCGACCCCAGGTAAATGGACGGCAAGAAACGAAAATACGAGGACGCGGAACGCGAGACACGTTCAATGAGGCGAGGATAAATGAATAATGGGGACGGAAACGCGAGTGCTTTTCGCGCGCGCATTGTTTTCCAGAGAAGAAGGTTGCTCGGTCCGAGGAGCCATGACAATCCGAGATTTTTGCGCGGCCCCGCCGTATCTGGGACGCGGGAACAGCCTCGGGAAATTCGAGATGGCGGACTGTTGGTAACTAGACCGCGGATGTTTATCGCGAATTTTCGTTTTCGTTGGGGAATTTTCAACTAACGGAAATTGTATACAATATTGTTTCCTGTATTCAGAGCTTTGGTAGATCGGTGACATTCTGCAAATAGATGATACTGATCTATATAGCATTACACTTAATAATTAGAATACAGTAATGGCATGTTATTATGAAATAATAATATAAAATTAAAAGCAAATTACTAATAATACATTATTAATAATGTATTACTGAATTACATTTTATTGATTTTAATACTTTATGGGTTACGAATGTGCAATAATTTGTAGCTTGGTGATTGTTTAACATTTCTTTGAATATAACCTAACATATGTAGATACAACAAGCTCCAAACGTTTCAATAAGAAAACATTCCAGGAAAATCTAAACAAAATTTATTACTAATAATTTGCTCTCTACCGATTTTCCAAAATTTTACACTCCACTCTCTACCAAAAACTCCACAATCCCCAAAATCCGCAATCACCATCAACCCCCGAAACACGCAAACTTCAAGACGCCATTCTCTCAAACTCAATCTCCTCTCGAACTACATTCCTCCTCAAATCCTCGATCCCGCAATTACCTATTACACCTGCTCCGTACCAAGTTACCGGTGTCTCAACCCGCAGATTCTGTGAGCCGGTCGCCTGTCTACCTGCCAGAAAAATAACGATTGCACCAGTGGTACATGAGGGTCCCGGACACAGAATATAAACTCACACCGCTGTGTGCCTAGGGAATGTTCTCAAAAACAAGGAGCATCGAGCGAAAACGATGGAAACAGAGACGATCCGAGAAATCACGGTAAAACCGTGAAGAGCGAGAGGTTAGAATGAGGAGAGGAACAGGAGAAGTCGGAGAAGAGGATAGAGGAACTGGCAGAGGGTGGAG